GCATGTAAAACATAAATACAGTTTAAACACAGTACAATAAACCCTTTATAATAAACACTTCTCTACAGAAGGGAATCGCAGTTCCCAAGTAGATCAGGTATAAAAGCAGATTAAAAGCAGATTAAAAGCAGATTAATAGCTGACACTATTGTCTGTTCACTTCTTTCTGCTGTTAGTCTTGATAATGTGGGATTAGTCTTGTCTAATCTGAGCTGCTACTTCGTTCTTTTCATCTTTCTTTATGATGCCTGTGTACTTTCTCAGGTGCCCATTGTCAGTTTTTGTTGAATTTTGGTAACAGGTTGCTGCATTGCAAGAGGAGAAAAGTAGTTTGCTAGCGGAGAACCAGGTTTTGATGGAACGCTTGAATCAGTCGGATTCCATAGAAGATCCCAACAGCCCAGCTGGTCGGAGGCATCTGCAGCTACAGTCACAATTAGAACAGCTCCAAGAGGAAACTTTTAGGTAAGATGCTAATCCTAATCCTGCAGATGTCTCTGTTTCCTATTCATGCTTAGTTCATTTCTGTTGATCATTAAAATTAATTAGATCTGTCTGTATCATAAATAATTGGAGATATAACTGTGATGAGCAGTTTCCAGGAATTGAATGATCAACATTAGCTCTCTGCGCAGATTTGTAGAATTGTACCCTACTGCCATACATATGGTGTCCCTACCCCCAGCTTTTTAAATAATGGTCCCAAGTGGCTTTCTCCTGGCCTCCTAATTCTAAAAAAGACCATTGAGGCAAAATAAAATGCAAAAGTACTCCCACATCCCCATAATGTTTTTCAGAATGAATAATCTTTGAGAATCAGGAGATTTTTTGGAGGGAGTCTGTTTATGGGCTATCCATCTATCCGCCTATCTATTGCTTCATTTATATTGCCACTTTCTCCCAGGCTGTGACCCAAGGCAGCTTGAAAAAAGACAAATGCAATAAAACAGATGTAATTAAGAAGGTATAAATCAAGATTGAACTAGTATTAAATAACAACAGAATTAAAACCAATTAAAATCTTCTTTAAAACAGATTAAAAATAGTAAAGCAATTGGTGTCCCACTTAATTGGTCAGTGTACAACAGCTGTGTAGAGTGTAGAGAAAGCTGTGTAACAAACTGTTTTGGATTTTGATCACAGTTGTTCAAGGTTTTTTTGGGTTTTTTGTTTTGTTATAAAAACACTGTGTGGTTATATACCTTAAGATATCTAGTGGAGAACTAAGATTTGTCATTCTTTGTGGGGAGTGACTATTTTTGTTCAATCTGTTCTGGCATTCTCTTGTAGACTAGAAGCAGCAAAGGATGATTATCGAATTCGTTGTGAAGAGCTTGAAAAAGAGATAGTCGAATTGCGGCAACAAAATGAAGAATTAACAAATCTAGCTGAAGAAGCCCAGTCTCTAAAAGATGAAATGGATGTACTAAGGTAAATGAGTTGATTCTTTGGAATGTGTACTTTTCATTTCTCATGCATATTTCATCTGTGTCTTGTAATTCAATACAACCAATAGAAGCACAGTCATTGTGGGGCTGTTCAGTTTTCTTCACTGGAGAATGTAATTGTTGTTGTTGGTCTTTCTCGACCAGAGAATGTAATTGTTGTTGTTGGTCTTTCTCGTTCCATGATGTCTCATCAGGAAGGGGTGCCTGATCAGTTGCATCCATCTCCTCCTCATCCAATGAGGGCTCTAAAATTATCTGCCTCTAGTCTTGAGAATTATAGTCAGAGTAGTCAGCTTCCAACTGATTTTGTCCTGTCGGGGCTTTATTCAACATCATTAGTGTTAGGGATGGAGATATGATTGTTGTATCAGTCTGCATCTGCTTCTTTAACTGTATGTCCATAACAGCTCCCCTCTCCTGTCTCCTGGTTTTTTACACAAATCCCAACTGCATGTCTTATTTGTAAGATCCTTTATTGTTCCGAAAGGATGCCACCTACTTTCCTTTGGCTGCTCATAATTGGTCATTCCTTTATTCAGTGTGAGTGAACAATCCTAATCAATATTTGGTGAAACAAGGTCTATTCGTGTTTCTGCTGTTACCGCTGTAATCAAGTCCCTCTTCAGGTTTTCCAACTTATTCAACATATTATTCTGCTCTTGTCTTGTGGACGAGCCAAAGGCATCAATGAAAGCATCCTCAATTAGTGTGGGGGTATTTTCTTCAAATAAAACAGATTGATTCCCACACTCTTGGTTCCTCAGGGTCACTGGTGGCGAGGTAGCAACCCTGGGGGCTCTCATATCAGGAAGTAGTGGTTTGATCCCTTTATCACAAAAGACTGATGGGAAAGATTTAATATTGGACTAGAAATAGTGGATTGTTTGAAGTTCAGCAGGATCCACTTTCGACTAAGGCCTCCCAGGAGCCATTCAACAGTGTCTAGGTCTAGCTGCCCCTGTTGGCAATGAAGAAGTTTCCCCAGGGAATTTTAATTGCTTTCCTGGTGTTCCAGCAACCAATGCTATATCTGTTCTTAGAAATGTTGAGGGCTACCCGCTTTAGTTGTAATAAACAGTTAGATATAACAGAGGATAAGTTGGCACAGCAGGTTAAACCACTGAGCTGCTGAACTTACTGACCAAAAGGTTGGTGGTTCAAATCCAGGGAGCGAGGTGAGCTCCCACTGTTAGCCCCAGTTTCTGCCAACCTAGCAGTTCAAAAACATGCAAACTCATGTAGATCAATAGGTACAGCTCCGGCTGTGACTCCATGCAGTCATTCTGGCCACATGACCTAGGAGGTGTGTATGGACAAAGCCTACTCTTTGGCTTAGAAATGGAGATGAGCACTACCCCTCATAGTCGGACAAGACTAGACTTAATGTCAAGGGGAAACCTTTACCTTTTTTACATTCAAGGTTCCTAATAGTTATCCTATCTGTGGACTTTATCTTACTAAAAGTTAGATGGTTGCTCTTTTGGGGCTGCAACTTTTTATCCAGTCTTTTAATATTTTCTTTAAGCAATTGCTCTTTCTCAGCCCATTGGACAAATATATGAGGCTCAAGCTCATCTGTTCCAGAAGCAATGCAGGTAGTAGTAAAAGGACTGGAATTGTGTTTTTTCATAAGGGTCTCCATATTACCTTTTAGCTCGTTCAGCTTATCTTTGATACCTGATAGCTGATCAAATATTGAAATTACAGTTTGTGCTGTGATCAGGTATTGTTTTGCCATAAACTCTGTTGAGTTTTCCCATGTCTGTGTCGTCACCTTCTGGTTTTGTTTTTTAGTTGACATTTTAGTTTTAGGCTTCCTTTCAGGATCCCTGCAGCAGGTATATCGGCTAAATGCCTGGTCTCCTTCCAGCTCCTCTCTGGTAGGCAAGGGGATTCCAATATCTGTTCTATTCCCTGCTCTATCTGAGTTTCCCCTTCCAGGTTTTGAATCCATTAGCCGTAGGAGTAAGTTTTGCTTTACTTACATTTCCTTTCAATGCAAAACAGTCTTTAATTCTTGACTGTTACATTTCAGCTGATGGAGTGAACCTGGGCTAACACCAGGCTGCTTCCTTCTTTTCCTCTTTCCCATTGCTCACCTTAGAACAGTGTTTCCCAACCTTTGGGCCTCCAGGTGTTTTGGCCTTCTGCTCCCACAGTTCTTAACAGCTGGTAAGCTGGCTGGGATTTCTGGGAGTTGAAGTCCAAAACACCTAGAGGCCCAAAGGTTGGGAACCACTGGTTTAGAAACCTTTCATGGGCTCCAAGGACTTTTATTTGAGCCTTTTTCTTTGGGGTTATTTTATCGAGGTAAATTTGATAAAATAAAATAGGGCTGCTTAGTAAAAATCCTAAAACCTGCAAACCTCAAGAACTCTCTCTCATGCGCCTGCTCCTCAGCTCAGCTGCATCCTATCATTGAATTATCTTGAAAGTCATATGGTGGAGTTCTGTGTCCTGCAATTGATGTAGTTTTGTCCTTTTTCTGTTCCAGTATCACAAAGGACCTGTTAAATTACTAACAAAGGTTTTTATAGGGATAATTTTTCTATTATTTATTTATTTATTTATTTGGTAGTTTTGTATGCCGGTCTTCTCACCTCCATTTGAGGGACTTGGGCCGGTTTCCAACATCAATATTACAGACAGTCATTAAAACATCATATTTCTAAATGACACTAAAACATTAAAACATTGAAATAATTAAAATGGCAAAAATACAATCATATGATTACAGTGGTCAGTCGTCATCAAAGTCATTATTCGTCGTCATCCATCCATATCACAGGATCATGGCTCATTTGTTGAATGCCAATCCCCAAAGCCAGGTTTTCACCTGTTTCCTGAACGTTAAGATCGAAGGGGCAGTTCTGATCTCCAGTGGAAGGGAGTTCCAGAGTCAAGGGGTCACCACCGAGAAGGCCCTGTCTCTCGTCTCCACCAGCCGCGCCTGTGAGGCCGATGGGATCGAGAGCAGGGCCCCTCTAGACGATCTTAGTAATCTTGATGGCTCATAGGGGAGGATACATTCGGAAAGGTAAATTGGGCCGGAGTCGTTTAGAGCTTTATAGGTTAAGACCAGCACTTTGAATTGTGCTCGGAAGCTGACTGGCAGCCAATGGAGCTGGCGCAACAGAGGAGTAGTATGCTCCCTGTACCCCGCTCCTGTTAGTAACCTGGCTGCTGCACGTTGGACTAATTCTACCGACTAAATTGTTCAGTGGAAAACAGTAATATCATTTTGAACACCATTTTTATGTTATCTTAGAGCACTTTCTCCCTTATGATAAGTTTCAGCTTACTGTTTGTCTGTCTCTCTTATTTTCATGGATGTTGTTTTGTAAACAGTAAGAATTCAGTCCAAATTTGTAGTGTGTGCCTTTTCTGCAAAAGTAAATCCAGAAACCTTCAGTTTCTGAAAGAATATGGGAGAGGAGGAGGAGATAATTTGCCAAGAAAAACTAACACCCCCCCCCCAACACCCTAGTGGTAACAGTTCCTCATATGGTGACCGTAGCTTCACTATATGCCTTTAATTTCCAGTTTGCATCCTTGCTACAACATGCCTCTGCAGCAACAGTGTTGGATTTAGTTTAATTAAAGCATTGTGTTAGAGGCAGATTTTTAGAGCAAGCTTGAGTGTAGTTGTATCAGAGCATTTGAGTATGATTATACTGTGTAACATGACTTTTTATCCAGTCTTTTAACATTTTCTTCAACCAATTGCACATTGGGCATAAATATGAGGCTCAAGCACATCTGTTCCACAAGCAATGTAGGTAGTAGTAAAAGGACCTGAGTTGCATAAGGGTCTCTGTATCACCTTTTAGCTTGTTCAGCTTATCTTTTATACCTGATAGCTGATCAAATATCGAAATTACAGTTTGTGCTGTGATCAGGCATAGCTTTGTTCAGTTTTTCCACGTTGGTGTCTTCACCTTCTGGTTTTGTTTTTTAGTTGACTTTTTAGTTTTAGGCTTCATTTCAGGATCTCTGCAGCAGGTACCTGGGCTAAATGCATATAGTAGCAACACCTGCGAGGCTCCCAATTTATGACCCTGGTCTCCTTCCAGTTCCTTTCTGGTAGGCAAGGGAGATTCCAGTACCTGTTCTATTCCCTGCTCTATCTGAGTTTCTCCTTCCAAGATGTGGAATCTATTAGCCGTAGGAGTAAGGTTTGTTTTACTTACATTTCCTTTCCATGCAAAACAGTCTTCAATTCTTAGCTGTTTGGTGTGTTTTGGCTGAGGGAGTGAGCCTAGGAGTGAGCCTGGGAGTGAACCTGGGAAAAAGGAAAAGAAGCTGCTTTCTTTTTTTCCTTTTTCTCATTGCTCAATTTAGAAACCTTTCATGGGCTTCAAATATTTTTAATTGAGCCCTAATCTTTAGGGTAATCTTATTGAAGTAAATTTGATAAAATACAATAGGGTTACTTAATAAAAATGAATTCTTAAAACCTTCAATCCTTGGGAGCTCTCTCCCATATGCCAGCTCCTCCGGAAACCGACTTCTATTTAGTTTTATCATAATTATTTACTGTATTGTTATTAGTGTTTCATTTAACTTACTATATAAAGTATAATAAGGTCTTATCAAGCCTTTGGTATTGTGATATGGCCTAAGGGCTAATCAGTAACATTTATTACTATTACTATGTAACATGATTTTTGTTCCTAGGTTATAAATTCCTAATTGATTCTATCATAAAAACATGGAAAAAGTTTATTAAACTGCAAAAACTTTGTTTTTGCGGGATATCCTGCAGCACATTTTGCTATAGTTTTTCAACGAATAGTTACCAGAGTCTCAGCCAATTCAACATAGTTTGCGGCAGTCACAAAAACAAAGTTTCTGGAGTATAATAGCTACTTTAAAAGTAAGTACCGCACAATTAAATAGGTAATAACACTTTCAAAACAGGAACTGATTTTTAAAAAAATCATTAAATAGTGTTATAATAGTGGAAAGCTGTGTATTTTAGGGGTGAGTATCTCTGTGCATGTGTATCAATGTGTACTAAAATAAAAATAGAGCTGATGGTTAACAATACACATGATGTGGATTGAAAATGAAATTATTATTTTAAAATTGGAGAGTCTGTACGTGTGTGGACAAAATAAATGCTTTAATATGAGTAAGTTGAAAACTAAACATATGCATCATCATAGGCAATTATTTGTGACCAACTAGGATTGTCTTTTGAAGGTAGAGTCTTGGCAATGGGTTAGAATGACTGAATCCATATCCACTGCCCAAGTGGCGGTCTGTAGCTAGGGGCTTCCAGATTTCACAGCCTTGCCCCTGTTGCCACTCTCTGATCGCCATGGCACTTTTGTTGCTTTAGTTTGCTTGGGAAAAAACCTTTATGTGAATTTGTTTTATGTGTGGAGATCAGAGCACATCGACCAACTCATCAGAAAGAAGTTCTGATCCAGTAGCATTGATGCCATGACGATTGGTGTCCTCTTATCTTTTGCAGCCTTCATTTATGTGATTTTAAATGAACGTGTTAATAATTGATTTTTAACTAATTGTTTTAATTTGTAATTGTTATTTATAAATTGTGTGATGGCATTGAATGGTTGCCTGTTGTGAAACCTCCCAGAGTCCACCTCGTGGGTGAGAAGGACAAGACACAAATATGCAAAATAAATAAATAAATACATAGATATATACATAAATAAAATGCAACATGCTGAAATCTGCCTGTTCTTCCATTGAGGACTTCCTCGGATCATTCTGTGCAACAAAAGTAGTGGTTGCGAAAGAAGGAGCAGGCAAAGTGGTCACTGTAGTGTAGAAAACATTGCTCATCTTGGACAGGTTCCTAGTCTGCTGTCAAACTCACAGGGAAATATTTGGGACTCGTGATTCCTCAAGACGAAGAATCATATGGATATAGGTATGAGTTATACAGATAGATAGATTCCCCTATCTCTTAATAAAATAAAGTTTTATCATACTGCAGCATTTATTTCTACTGTCTGAAAGAAGCTGGCCACGCTTATCCAAGTTCTGGAAGTAATTGGTTTGAATGGGAGGAAAGGAATGTGACTCCTTATAACTTTATGATGCTGTGATAAATATTCTGAATCCATCAAAATATGATTTGAAGGGGATATTTGACTGCTGAATTTTTGCAACCTTCTCTCCTCCTAGGCATTCCTCAGACAAAGTGGCCAAGTTAGAAAGCCAAGTGGATTCATACAAGAAGAAGCTGGAAGATCTTGGGGATCTACGAAGGCAAGTTAAACTCCTAGAGGAGAAGAACACGATGTACATGCAAAACACTGTCAGCTTAGAAGAAGAGTTGAGGAAAGCCAATGCAGCCCGCAGTCAGCTGGAGACATACAAAAGACAGGTGAGCACAGAAATCGAATGACTGACTTTTCCATCTTTCAAAGATGACACATACTGGTTATTACTTTACAGTTTCTTCTGTTTCCCAGCCAGGCAAATGTTTAGGTAACTGTAAATGTGCATAAAACACTTTCTCAAATATACTCTTTGGGATGTAATGTACTGAGAGTTGCCCTCTTAGGCTATTAAGAGTTGTAAAGTTCCCTAAAGATGCATCTGCACTGTAAAGTTAAAGCAGTTTGATACCACTTTATCTAACATGTCTCAATGCTGTGGAATCATGAGAGTTGTAGTTTGTTGAGGCACCAGCACTCTTGGTCAGAGAAGGCTAAAGACTGTGTAAAACTACAACTCCTGTAATTCTATATCATTGGGTCATGGCAGTTTAAGTGCTGTCAAACCATTGTAATCCTGCTTATTCCTCAATAACAAAATTTTAATCTGCATTTCATCAGTTGATTATAATTTATATTTTAACTCGGTGTATCTTGTTCTGTGTGCTTTAATAGTGTTTTATCTCATTTTAATGATGTTATACTCTGCCTTAAGCTGCAGGGAGAGGCGGGTAATAACTTTGTTGTTATTGTTATATGCAGTTCTCATTTTATTCATTCAGCTTTCTGGTTGCACATCTTACTTTCAGTGCTTATGGCCACTTAGGGTACATCTACCATTCTACAGTGCAGATGTGCCCTGAGTAGTCATAAACTCTGAAAGTATGATGTACAAACCGTATGAATAAAATATTCCTTGGAGGAATTGCAGGATTAAAATATAAGTAAAATGAAAAGACATCACAGAAAGGCATCACCAGTACAAAAACTATAACCCAGGTAGACCAGTTGAGTGATTAATTATTTTAATCACTGTGTGAACCTACTTTGGCTACACCTCCAATGAGTTGGAAAGCTTTTTTAACATTTGATCTTCCATAAAGAACTTTAAACATGTTTTACTTCATTTTCTCCAAGGTGTTAAATTGTTTTTCTGCAACATTTATTAGCTGTTTTTATTGGCATTTTGTCATGCAGTCATTCATTCATTCAGGCACCATCAATTTACAGAAACAAAATAAAACTGACATTCCTGTCAAATACATAAAATTTAATTTAAAAAGAGAACACAAATGCTTTAAACAATAAAACCAGAATCTGACACTGGATTGTTTAAAAGGGTAGACAGCAAGTGAAAGACTTTAGAAGTGGGGTGATATCAATGTAGCAGCAGAATATTGGGTAGAAACTGGGGGTATTAAGATGAATTAGTGAAACACAGGTCAACATGAGGTTACCCATAGGAACTATGATGCTACTATTTTCTTTCTTTTCCAGTGCAGCTAAGAATAATTGATTATGTTATAAAAAGAAACCAACTATACATAGCATATCGTAGTTCATCTCAGGAGAATTTAAAATAATCATTTGCCTCCTCCACTCTGTTACCTCACTCTGTTTGCTATGAAACCACTTCTGACTTCTTTGAATGTTTGGATGGGAAAACCACAGTGTCTGGCTCCCTTTGTCCTCTCTGAGGAATGGCCTATCCATGTGTCATATCAAAGGTCATAAATTTGGACCCAAAGAACTGCCCTCAACTTAAAACATGCAGTTGATTTATACACAAGTATGTATAGTAAATGACTGTTGTAGCTGAATAATCTTACAGTTTATTTTTTAAACATCAGATGTAAAAGAAGCTTATAGTCCAATTGTATGAGTTGAGAAGACCTGAGGATGTATTAAGATGAAATACATCCTCAGGTCTTCTCGATTCATACAATACACGTACATCAAGGGGACAGTAAGCTGGATACAAATTTTCTTTCCATTAATACAATTTCCTTTGTATTTGCCTTTATTAGTGAGTCAACAGTCTTAGTAGTCATTACATTTTATCACAGTTTAGTAATTTCAAGTAGAATGACTATTTTCACTTAATAAATAAATGAAAATGGCAAACAGTTGTGTTAAGTGGTTATATAATGGCTGGCTAAAAATAGATATTTTTGCTTATTTTTTAAAGCGAAAATCAGTGGCTTTTTCCATTAGCAGGATTTTACTGGTGAATTCTTATAATGATTATAAAATAATGTAAGCAGTATAATAAGTTCATACTGTTTTTCAGGTAGTGGCATTGGTGTTGTTTAAACATAACAATGGTAATTGTTTATTGCTACTAAAATTAACCCAGGTCAGTTTCTGGCTCATATAGTTCCATTCTGCTTCTTTTGATGTGGACATTAAAAAAATCAGTAGGTTTTGCTTCTGGTTTAGATGAACAGCAGCTTAGTTTATATTTGAATTGAGATGAACTGTGGCTGGTTGAAAATAGTCAACTGCTGAATCATTAGTTATGAAACTGATTTGTTTCAACTAATCATAATTGGAAAAAATAGTTTCAGTTTTCATCATAATCCTAAACTTCAGTAAATTGAAATTTTCCATGACAACTTCTGTTTTATATCATTGTTTCTAGTGTAACTCAAACCTAACAAATGTTTTGCCAGAATATGAGAAGGGAAGGTTGACCATTCGATAGAGAGTTGTCATAATGTTTATAATAATAAACCAATGTTTATTATTATATCTAAATAGTGCTGTTGGCTGTTGGGAACATTCATATTTTTTTGTTTTCATGTTGGTGATTGATGTGCTGATCTTGTTCTTTTAGGTAGTTGAACTTCAGAATAGATTGTCTGAAGAATCCAAGAAAGCTGACAAATTAGAATTTGAGTACAAGATGTTGAAAGAAAAAGTAGACAGTCTGCAAAAAGAAAAAGATGTACGTATGTTAGGATTGCTTTTCTTTTTATATCTTGAAACTGATGTCATATTTTAAAATTCAGATGACATGTCTCTATCTTGTTATGTTTGTGTATTGTGGTTAATTGTCTGCCTAGTTTCCAAGAGTCTTTTCTGAGCTCTTGAGGAAAATAAGAAAGTTTCCATGACCCAGTTCTGTGTCTAATATTTTTTACGTGTTGCGATTATTATTATTTTTTTGGTAATTCTTCATGCTTCATTTCTGCTGTTCTTTCCTGTGGGGAAATCTTGATCTAATTGACACGTTTCAGCCATTCAGTTATTCCTTTCCCCTAGGGTTTCATATAACATCTAGTGAGCCCATAATACTTTTTTAAAAACCAAAGTCTTGGGTATGGTCAGTTCTAAATGTCAATCATCCCAGTGTTACTCTGAGGGTAATATTAATATCTTATTTCAAAGCCATGCTGTTGTTACTACTTCACTCTACCCCACATACTTCCCATCGCTTTTTCACCTGTTTCTCTCATTGCCTACTCCCCTTTCCCATATTTTTTTCTGGAGTTTTTAATCAAATTCTCCGGTTAATGGAAATGCCATCAAGGAAAGCAGGATGGGTCTTCTCAGGTGCAGCAACCCCATTAGGACATTCACATCATTTGGCATCAAGTGAAGATATGGCTCACTGGCTATGCCATAGCTTTGGCCTATCGAAATCTAGGCATCTTTTGCATTTTTCCCCATTGGCCATGTCAAGTTGTTTTAATTTTTTAATTATTTTAAACATGCTATTTTAATTGATTCTATCCCACCCTGGAGAACAAGCTAAAAATACTTTAAATAAATGAATGAATAAATAGTTGGCACTGGTACATCCTTGGTATTAATCAGAGCCCTGCACAGTATTATTTGGTTTGACATTTGAGAAGTTTGTTTCACATCGGAAATATGTTTCCTCAGAATTACATCAGTTGGCATAATGCCTTCTGCATCATGAATTTGAATAGTTGAATAATCAAATATTGGCCTTTTCCTCTCTATATTAGCGCTTAAGAACAGAAAGAGATTCGCTAAAAGAAACCATTGAAGAGATTCGATGTGTACAAGCACAAGAGGGGCAACTTACTACATCAGGTAAAGAAAATGTCGCGTGTACAGGCCCATTCTTTTGAAATCTTGTGAAGAATGTCAGAGCTATAATGTCTGAAAAATCATTCCTCTAGTAGTTCAAGAAAAGGTTTGGCACTGCTCTTTAGCGCCAGATTTACATAATGATTATGCCATCCAGCTTAGTGGCTGTTCGGTGTTATGTGTATAATTCTTTAATTACATCTCTATTGCTCTTTGCACCTTTTGGCTCACATCGGAATAAATGAATAGGAGTAATTTGCTTTAATTATCCCAGAGCAGAAGTGGGGCTTCTTCAAACATGCTGGCTGATCTTGCAGTCCTTGAGCCTTCTAGACTCTCCAGAGTACATTTTTTCAAAATTTGTCTCTCTCAGTAACCTCCAAGAGCAATAATTTACCATTTAAGCAGGATATGAGGGCTTCCTGTGCTATTTAAGATTTCACAGTAAAACTTTCAAAACCAGAGATGGCTTTCTGATGTTTGTGTTCTTCTTTTCTTTTCTTTTTTTCTTTTATGTTATTTTTGGCTGTATGTGTGCCTCCTGGTGCATGTGAGGAACAGAAAAATTGGCCCCAGATTTGCTGCAGTCTTCTGCCCCTTTCATAGAGTAGGGGATAATTCCTTCTGATGTCATCAGTGAATTGGGTGCATTGATGAAGGGTTCATCTCCGTTGTGCATAGTAAGATGAGACAAAGAGTAGTAATCGTGAGAGTCATAAATACCTCATGACATCTTAAAAAATATGCCATATTTCACGACATAATAGTTGCCATCACGTAATAGTTACCCCACACACACTTTTTTTTGCCCCCAAAATAGTATTCTGCCTATGGGACTTCACTCAGACCCAGGTGAGTGAAGCCCTCTAGCTGGAACTTTTTATTAATCTAGCTGGAACTTTTTTTAAAAAGTGTGATTATTACCTGGTGAGATACCATATTTCTGTCTCATTTTTCTTTTAGTTAAAACTGTTAGCTGCCATGGTTCATAGACTCCATAAAGAATAAAGTACAGATTGAGTATCCCTTATCTGAAATGCTTGGGACTAGAAATTTGGGGTTTTACAATTTTATGTAGGAATACCTGGATTTGCATATACATACATAATGAAATACCTTGGAGACTTATTTATTTCATGTCAAAAGCACTGCATTTGTAAAGCAATACTTTTGGGTTGGAAAGATTAGCCGTTTACAAAAAACATCCAGGGGATGCCCAACTGTATTTACTCAGTCTTCGAGGAGACTCAAGGTCTGTTCTATGTAAAAATTCATTTATGTTTCATATGTACCATATACACATGGCCTGAAAGTAATTTTACATGCAATATTTTAATTTTTTTTTGTTCAAAACAAAGTTTTTGCACTAGCCGCCTTAATTGCATGTACCTCCCTTCCCCAAGCTGATTTAAGCCTGGGATGTGGCATATTTTCCACCAAGAAACTTCAAAAATTACTTCCTGGTTGAAAAAAAAAAAACAAGGTAAGTATGCACAGAAATCAGAAGTGCTTAGTCATGCCATAAGTTAAATATCTAAATAGTTTTTTCTCTTTTGTTCCCCAAAACAGGATTGTTGCCACTGGCAGGTCAAGAGTCCTCTGACAGTTTAGCAGCAGAAATTGTTACCCCTGAAATCAGGTAAACTTAAACATAAGGCTGTTTCTATCTGGGCAAGATGAGCAGTTATATCAAACTCACCTCATTTTTTCAGTTTTTAACTTAATTACCTTTCCTAAGATGTCATAAATAATTTCAGCTTCTCTGATCCAGTGAGAATGCTGCAGCCTTCCAACTTTGAAATGTTTTAGTGCACCACTTTGTGGTGCTTACTATCAAGCTTCAGCTCATATGCCAGCTGTGCCCCTTCCTAGATTTGGAGGACCAGAAAAATGGTAATGCATACGCTGGTAACCTCAAGGTTGGACTTCTGCAATGCACTTTACATTGGCCTACCCTTGTACCAAGTTCAGAAACTGCAGCTTGATCAAAATACGGCAGCCAGATTGATTAGAGGAACATCTAGGAGTGAGCATATCATACCTATCCTAAAGTCATTCCACTGACTGCCAATTAGATTCTGGACAAAGTACAAATGGGGTTGTACCATTTAAAGATCACTGAAGAAGATATTTTTCTATATTTTAAAAAAGTTTTAAGTATTCCTGCATGTACATGTCCCCTTGAATTCCATGAGAAAGAACTGCAGGGATCCATGAACTGTGAATTACTCTTCACTTTATCTTGACGCAGAGGTTAAGCCTCTCATAGCACAAACTTAATAATTTCTTTTTTGCTTTGTTCTTTTGTAAAACAATCGTTTTAAGAGTGAACTAGACTCCCTTCCTGTTATTTACTGTGAGCCCAGTCTTTTCACTGTAAACACTTCTGCTGTTCTGTTTTGATCGTTTTCTACTCTGTTTTATCTGGCAGTCCTTCATGATTGCTTCACAAGGATTGCATCTGGTGCATTTTGGTGTTATTTGAGTACCTTATTTAGGCTTTGTGGGGTGCATTGCCTGAATGGTTTTTGTGTTAAGCAGTATTTCTGGGTCTGTTTTCAATTTAAAATATCTTTAAAATATTAATTAGAATTGTTTTTTTAATCATTTTTATTTACAGCCAGGGCTTTAAATAGCCACTTGGTTATAGGAGGGTTAGGATATTATTCATATTTTGTGTGGTAATAGCAGTGTTAGTCATAGTCCATGATTGATACTTTCCAATGGTTCTTACTGTGATCTTTTAGGGAAAAACTTCTTCGTCTTCAACATGAAAACAAGATTCTAAAACTTAACCAAGAAGGATCTGATAATGATAAGATTGCCTGGTTGCAGAGCCTTTTGGATGATGCGAATCTTAGAAAGAATGAACTGGAGACAGAAAACAGGTATTTTCCTTCTCAACATGGTGGGGGGGGGGGGGGCGGGGAGAGCATATTCTCCTTGCTTATCGACATTGCTTTCCTTTTGCAAACAATATGAGCCCTGCTTTATGTAAGAAGAAACACGCTACTTTAAGACATGCTGTGATCTTCTGTATCTTTCATGGATCACATGACACAGAAATAGTATTGGTTTCTTCCAGCCAATTCCACATTATTTGTTGCAAAGGAAGACATAAGTACTTATGGTGACATCATCATCTCATCCTCTATTACATCTCGGATTTTTGCCCCAGGGAGACAGTGGACCAACAGTGAAAATTTGAATGGAGGCCATTGTGTCTAAGTACCAAGATTGAGTAACTATCCCTGGCATGTTATTTTGCATTTTTGTGGATATTTCTATTTTCCCTTCAAAACTTCTCTGTTCATTGTGGAGCTATGGAGATGAAATTCACCTATGTTTGCGCTATGTAATGAAACACAGAATTATAGAGTTGGAAAAGACCATAAGGGCTGTCCAACCCCCTGCCATGAAGGAAAACACAGTCACAGCACTCCCATTAGATCGCCATCCAGTTTCTGCTTATAAACATCCAGAGGAGACTCCACTATCTTCCGAGACAGCATAGTCTACTGCCGAGTAGTTCTTACCACCAGGAAGTTCTTCCTAACGTTTAGTGGAATCTTTTTTCCCCTGCAGTTTGAATCATCTCTACAGCAGCAGAAAACAATCTTCTCCCCTCCTCAATGTGACATCTTTTCAAACGTTTAACCATGGCTCCCATGTCCCTTCTCAGCCTTCACTTCTCCGAGCTAAACGTACCCAGCACTCTCAGCTGTTTCTCATGGAGCTTGGATTTTAATCCTTTGATTGTTTTTGTCCTCCTACTGTGGACACATTCTAGTTTGTCAATATCCTTCTCGAATTTTGGTGGCCAGAGATGCAACTCATCTCCTCCCAGAAACCCAACTGCATTAGACCTCAGATCCATGTTCCAGGAAGCAAAATGATTCCCAATGGTACAATGTGCAAAGCCAGTTTTTTTGCCTCTGTTTTCCTTCTCTCCCTTCCTGGACCATGTCCTTGAATGGGAGAAGAGACAAAATGACAACGTAAATACCATATATTCTCATATATAAATGGATCTCATGTATAAGTGGAGGGCAAGTTTGGGGGCCAAAATTACATATTTTTATATGGTCCATGGATAAGTCATGGGTAGAAGTTAGGTGCATGTAACAAAGAAGTATTTTCTCTCCTTTTAAAAATGCTTAAGAGGAACATACTTAAGAAGAGTTAAAGAGGAAGTGAGACTGTTCATTTGAGGGATTGCAGTTGAGTGGATGGGGAAGCAAATTGCATTGCCAAACTAAAATGTCTACATTTATTAAAAATATATAGGTAGAGAAATAAATATAAGTAAGGAAAATGAATAAGAATATAATCTGGTAAAAGGAGGGGAGGGAAAGAGGAACAAGGAAACTAATTTGCCTTTATTAGGGACCCATCATGAAGGCAATGAGAAGACGCCAAGGTGAAAAGCTCCTACTTCATTTTCACACTCTTACCTGAACCAGAGAAAGACAGCCTTCCCTCTCTTTTTCAGATGGAACTCAAGAATTGTTTTGGGTATTTGAGGCAGAGCAGACTGGTGGTGGCCATTTTTAATAAAGATTCCTCTCCCAGGATTCTCTGCAGAGAGACTGCAGTGGCCATTTTTAATAGGATCCTGCCTTTCTTAAATTTGGGCAAGGAAGAGGGAATGAGGTGGGAGCTTCTCATCTCTGCCTCTTCTCACTGCCATCGCACTGGGTCCTTGTTCCAGCATTGACCTGTGTAAAAGTTTTGGGGCTTCTTTTTTATCCAAAGTGTTTTTGACTTAGAAACAAGTACATACAGTAAATAATAAGTAAACAAATATTGTGCCTCTTGTTTGAATGATAACAGATTTTAGGAGCACAGAGAGATATCTATAATTCTACAAAACTTGCAAAATTTAAAAATTGTAAAATTAAGTTTGGGGGATTGAAATAAGACTAGCTTTTAAAAGGTAACATGTTTTTGTTGTTTACAGGCTTGTAAATCAGAGACTGCTTGAAGTACAATCTCAAGTTGAAGAATTACAGAAATCATTACAGGAGCAAGGCTCAAAAGCAGAAGATGTAAGCAGAAATAACAATACAAGTTTTTGGGATGTGGGAGGCAGTTGTCCTATAAATTCTAACCCCTGCTATTCTAATACCTCCTACACCATTTTTTCTGCCAAGTTTTATTTTTTTCAAATGTTAAAGTGAAATAGTAGTAGTTTCAGTGGTGAATCAAACTCTCATTCCCAATCTAGTTTAGTCACATGAATGTTACTGGCAAATTCAAGACTGAATCATGCACTCAGGTCTCTGTTTTATTTATATCCCATCATTCTTCCAATTTGGGACCCAAGTCAGCTAGTGCGATTTCTAGCCACCTTGAATCTGGAGAAAGACAAGATAAAAGTAAAGTGGATACATAAACTATCTTCTCAATAGCTAGTAACCTCTTCGATGCAAAGGCTCGTGTTTTGACATGCAGCATAGTTGGCAAGATACCTCTGTTGTGTGTGTTCCTTGGAACTTCTCTCAGAATGTATGGCGTGAACTGGTCCTATAGGCTAACCTGGTAGGATTGGTGTCATTCCTACATCGCAGACTATACTCAGTAATTCCCACTCCAATCTCTAGAATAGTGGTTCCCAATCTGTGGTCAATGGACCACCAGTAGTCTGCCAGAACTAAAATATGGTCCGTGGTCTGACCATTACTATACCATTGCAGTGAGAGAGACTGGTCTCACGAAACCCTCTTATAGTGCCGAGGCTTATTAATAGGGTTTTCTGTGGGTGAGCAGATGGCAACTACTGGATGGGATATGCTCTGTATCAGAAACTAGAACTGATGTGGTCTCACCAATGCAATTTTCTGAATTAGCACCCCAAATAACCAAATCGAATCTAAAGTTGATCAAAAACTTATTCGTAGCCCTTTTAGTACTAATGTTGGAGAGTGGTCCCCGGTCAAAATGGTTCCTAGTCAAGTAGTTTCTGGTCAAAAAAAGATTGGGAACCACTGCTCTTGAGTGAAGGTAGATATCATGGGCTTTGAGAGTAGCAATTCACTCCACCTGATTGAAAGAAAAGGAAGGGGGAATTTTTAGTTTAGACAATTCTTTTCCCTTCCAGTAAGGTGACTAGAACAAATGGGACTGATTATCTCTTTGGTGAATGCACTATGCAGAAGAACTGTGTGCACCCAGAAAGGGATGAAAAGTATGATTTTCCCCCTTTTGTCTTAGAAAAATCATAGTAATGTTTTGGAAGTATTTACTGCACAAACAATCACTGCTGGTTGTAATCTTCAAAGGATACCATGCGATAATAATGTTTGATTCAAATAAGAACTTGACTGGAGTGAAATAGGCTGTAATCTATTTATTGATATCAACATTAGGTGTACGCCAATCAATCTTAACTACTTTTGGTAGTTTTTGCACATTTTAAAAACCAAAAATTCTTGATATAGGAACTTTAATACTGTCATGGCATCTGCTTACAATGATTGCAGCCTTCCTGTTTTGAAATTTTAGTTTGTGTACTTTGTTTTTAACAGTATCTTGTTTATGACATTCATTTATGTACTTGAAACGCATTTGTAATGGCCTTCTGAAACACTCTAAAAGGCAAAGAAAGCACAGAAAGAAGGAAATGTGCATGCTCTGTGGGAATGCCTTGCTTTCTATGTGTTTCCTGAAAATGTATTAAATTGTGTCTTCTGTTGGCTGCTGTTCTGCTTCGTACTAATCTGTCGTCTTTGTCTCTTGGCATGGGTTTCTGCTCAAGGCTATTGTGAGTATGGCTTCCTCTTTACTTCACCCTATTCTGAATCAGTCAGTATCCATTTGTGGCTCTGACTTTTTCTGAGTTTAAATGGATAAAACTTTAATTCTTATTCATGTTGCATTTTCACCTACTATGTGCTACCTGTTCGTTTAGCAAACAGTTGACAGACAATGCGTGTCAACTGTTTTTGCGAGTCCTGTCATTGTCACAGTGTTTGAGGAAAGATAGCTGCACGCTCACTTAAAAATTGCCAACTATCTAAAAATTCAAATGCCAAAACATTTTAGGGAGGAATTTACTTGAGCTAGATTTGATCAGCTTGATACAATGGTCAGATATGAGAGATTTAACAGCATCCGTTATAATGAGCAGATTTGTATTGGCAGAGCACTTGAAATTGAGGATATAACACACATATTATTTGATTGTAAATTTTACCAGAAAGTGAGAGACTTGTACCTTGGTTCATATATCAAACGGACAATTTATTGAGAATCCCACATCAGAACAACATATTTTATGTGTGGCCAAGATCCAAAAATAACATAAAACAGCCCTGTTTTTAAACAGAGTGATACGTCTGAGAACCACATATGTGAGGCTGATTGGGGTAAATTGTAAGGGTGATGCTTAAACATGATGTATATTCAAATTTTATCAAGCCTTTTTGTTTGGTTTGGTATTGTGATATGGCCTAATGGATAATCAATAAAATTTACTACTATTTAAAAATATAGGTGAAGTCATTGGCAAGGACTGCTTCAATTACTATCAATTTTTATCTATACTTAATGTCTTGCAATACTTTTTCTGTTTTCTTTAAATGATTTATGATAGTCTGGATGCTGCAATCCACTTTCTGTTTTCTCCTTTATTCCTGTGAACAAAAAACAAGTCATAGTTTACTTTGCTAGTGAAGTTTGTTTCACAGAAAATTCCAAAATCAATGCATTTTTATAGAACCCCTTTCTGCCTTTTTGCAACTTCCAGCCATAGCTGGAAACAATCCTCCTGACCCTTAACAATGTGCCAAGTTGGAGCAGAGTTGCTACCATTACTTCATCTTCTCAAGACACAAAACAGGGACAAGTAACATGTGGGACTCCAGAGGTTTTTTGACTGCATGTCTTAACAGCTTTTCATAGCAAATCACTATTGAAGTTACAATCCAGCAGCATCTGAAATGTCACACGTTAACCATTCATGGATTAAAGAATTCCTAAAAATACAGAGATGGTTCAGAGGCGAGAATGTAGAATAGGTTTCAGATGAAATTCCGAGATTTTCACAAGTACATTATTTAAGTGTATGTATGAAAGATAATAAATGCACCAATTTTTAGAAGTGAATGCTTTATTAAATCATAAAATTCTTACTTCTGCATATACATAAATAATGTTTAATAGATTTATTAAATATAAGATACAATATAATATTTTCAATATCTATATATAATTAATATGTAATATATGCAATGTCATATATCTGTCATATGTTATTAACACATAATATTGTAGGACCTTAGAATCTAGTATACGATGCTCGTTCCACCCTCAGCATTGTCAGCCTACATCAATAGGAATGTTCCAAATAATCATTTTTTCTTCCATTTACAGTCCGTAATTTTGAAAAAGAAACTTGATGAACATCTGTAAGTATTACATTGTTTCCCACTTTTTTCCTAACAAGAAGTATATAAATGCCTTAAGTAAACAACTACAAATTGGAAATACATTTTCAATGGGTTGATAGATTGTTTCAAAATGGCATTTTCCTTTTCATCAGAAATAAAATAGTTCTCTGTGATAAAGTGATCATAAAGTGGTATAAAAAGTTACTTCCAAAATCCTGCCAGGACAGAATGGGCAAGAAGGAACTTTTGGGTGTAGCCATTCCCTCCTCCCCAGTAACCCTGATACACGTGACAGGGTGAACTTAGCAGGAGTGGCTGGCAGTTAATGAATCTGGGGTGCATGATTGCTGTGTTTCAATTTTAAAAAGGCATGGCATGGATAAATAACAGCCTTAATTTTATTGGTAGTTTGTGAACAGTATTCTATTGACTCTAAGGTGCATTTTTTCCAATTTAAGGGGCTGAACAATGGGATTCACTGTAGATTTTATGGCATCTTAGATTTGCCAGTTTAGATCTTATCTCTGAGAGGGAGGAGGAAGCAATATTACTCCAGCCTCAGGATCCTACGATTTCAGCCTCACCAGGCGACTGTTTGCCTGTATTTTAGCTAAGCACTGCTTCATGCTTTCACTGCTTCTCCAACAGGCCCATAGACTTAATAAAATGGAGTTATACAGAGCTTCTTTACTTTCCTTCCTCACACCACAAAAATAATGCATCAATGAACCACTTTGAAACAGATAAACAAAAGGTATCGGAGAGGCAGGGATTTTAAAAAAATATTCGAAGAAAATTGTTTTTTTCCTAACATTGAAGCTTCAGAAAGTGGGTGAATGCACTTTAGATTCAGGGAAATTCAGTATTTTATTATGGTGGGAAATTACCCAGAATTGTAAAATCACAATTTCCTATTCCTATTTTAAAATTTATTTTGAATTTATGTAGTACTTGTTTATATTTTGACAGTGAAAAACTACATGAAGCTAATAATGAGCTCCAGAAGAAACGAGCTATCATTGAAGATTTAGAGCCTCGGTACAATAATAGCTGTGAGTAGTGTTCTGTTTCACGTCGTAAGATATATATTTAATTTTGCTATTGCAAAGTCATTGACTTTTTAAATAACTTGCAGAATAATTTGAAGCTCTGGGCTTGTTGTGGGGTATGGAGCATCACCTCGCAGCATTAAATTAAGAATATTGGGGTCAAAATCCACATCTCAGAGGTTCACCAGGACCCATGACACCCCATTTTGCAGTTTGCTAACTTTTGTTGTTGATAAAAAAAAACCATTTAAGATAAAGCATGCTAACTTTTTTTAGTCTTAATTGTATTTGGATCTACCTGCTACTGGAATGTGCCCCTTAAGAACCATCTGGAATTGAACTTGGCCAATGAATTGAAGGATATAGTGCTGTGACTCTTAATACAATTCCTCATGTTGTGGTTAACCCCAGCCATACAATTATTTTCGTTCTTACTTCATAACTGTAATTTTGCTACTATTATGAATTCTAATGTAAATATCTGATATGCAGGATGTATTTTCATTCACTGGACCAAACTTGGCATGAATACTCAATATGCCCAAATGTGAACACTGGTGGAGTTTGGGGAAAATAGACCTTGATATTTTGGAGTTGTAGTTGCTGGGATTTATAGTTCACCTAAAATCAAAGAGCATTCTGAATCCCACCAACGATAGAATTGGGCCAAACCTCTCACACAGAACTCCCATGCCTTGAAGCAACTCGCTGGTGCGAGCCTCCCTCCAGCCTCACATGCTCTCCCTCAGCCTGCCATGTGCTAAGCATGCCTGCTCTCCCCACTGTCAGAAACAGCCCTCTACTTGGCTGAGAGGCCGACCAGTCACAGTGGAGGAGGGTTTTTGGTGGGAGGATTCGCTGTTTCCAAAAAGGAAGAGACGGAGAGATCTTTAACCTTCTCTGCCAAACGGGTTCCTAAGACCATCAGAAATATGTTTTCTGATGGTCTTTGGTGACCTCTCTAAAACCCCCTCATGACCCCCAGGAATCCCAACCCCCAAACACTGGTCTAGATGGTTTACAAAAAGGTTTGCATTTACAGACCACTGTATCAATAAGGAGGGAACTCATATTTCAGGCTGTCGGATTAGGGAGAGCCTATGTTAATAAAAATATGGTGGTATAGACCGGTTTGACCATTATGTTTATATTTGGGAAGAGATATTACTGTGATGCTAGGAATCTTTCCCATTGTTAAAAATGTTGACTTCCCTTACAATGTATCTTGCCTGTACAAAATAATCTAAATTGTCCCATAGATAAATCCATTTTTTCATGTTTAGCTAAATTGTATGTCTTTGAAACAAATCTGGAATTTTCCCCTTTTATAAAGCACTCAAAATAGAAGAACTACAAGAGGCTTTACGTAAAAAAGAAGAAGAGATGAAGCAAATGGAGGAGAGATACAAAAAATACTTGGAAAAAGCTAAAAGTGTAAGTATCTTGTGCTCTGCGTTATGTTAAGGTTGACAGTTGTAGTAAGATAATATGAGTTGCAGCTTTCATTGGGACTATACTAATGTCACATTCACAAGGCTGTATGGTGAAATAAAGGATGGACCATGTGTTTTTATTTTCTTACCACGTTTTGAAGTGAATATTTATATTGTGTGATCCTGCAACTTACGCTTCAGATCCTCCATATCTCTGGATTTTGAATTTGCTAAGCAAGTGGTTTCAGTATCTAGGTCCAGGGGAGGACTGGCATAAAATAAACAGGAAAGTGCTTGACATTGGCATTCACTTCACATGCAATGAAGGAATGTGCATAGAAAACAGAGCATGCAAGTCCAGAGGTTCTCTGTTTTGTGGGAGAGTCGGGATCTATGTCGATAAATTTCCTGAATCAATTCTTGTCATCAAGCTCTTAGAAGGAATGTCATCTAGCATTGTTGGGGAAGACCATTTGCTGCCTAAGATGCTGAAAGACTGATGTTAATACTAGGTAGTTAGCATCAACATCACAATATTTATTTTTTGCCCTGCCTTCCTCCAATACATTGAGACTCAAGGTGACTTAAAAATGAAAAGCAAGACAGCATAGCTAAAGGGTTTTAAATATTCCCATCAAAACACAATGAACATAATAAAGAACTTTTGAATATATCATCAAAATAATCTGTAAATAAACAAAACTATTGTCTGTCCACCTCCTCCATTTGAAAGCTGTGGACTTTAGAATTTTGAAGAGGCAGCTTGCCACCAAAGAATAAAAAGAAAAAGACTATTTTCTATTGCTTTGGGGGCAGATTTGGAGAGCCTAGGGTAGGCATGGACAAACTTTGGTAGGCTGTTAGGAATTGAAGTCAGAAATACTTGAAGGGCTGAAGTTTGCCCATGCCTGGTCTATATGATGATGAGCTACTTAAACAAATATTCTGACCTGTTATTTAAAAAAATTGTGTGCTGGTAGCATAAGTTGTATGTTTAGCATGTGCCCCTTTCCTCTTACAGGTTATCCGTACCTTAGATCCCAAGCAGAACCAGGGCTCAGCGCCTGAGATTCAGGCACTGAAGAATCAGCTGCAGGAACGTGAAAGGATGTTCCACTCTTTAGAGGTAATTTCACAACCCTGTGTGTTTTTATGAGCTCCCTGTAAATAACCTGCTCCTATTTTTATCTCATTAGAGTCTTTTAATCATTTTATCCTGTACATGTGGCCCGCCCACTGCTATCGTGATTGTGTTTATTGGAATGTTATTTTGTTATTGTGTCTATACTTTTTTTTCTATATAATTTTGATTACGTTGCTTGTTGTTTATGTTTTGGTTTTATTTTGCTGTAACGTTGTCCAGGCTTGGCCCCATGTAAGCCACATCGAGTCCCCATTGGGGAGATGGTGGCGGGGTATAAATAAAGATTATTATTATTATTATTATTATTATTATTATTATTATTATTATTATTTCAATGTAACCCTGCACAGGGCTTTGTAGAAATCGGTGCCTTTGATTTTCTGTGATAAGATGGGAGTTGAATTGAAAGTCTGGTATAATAGTGTACAAAAGAATATTGCAACACCTTTGAGATGAAATGAAAGAAAATGTAGCATGAACTTCCATATATTTAGTTTTACTTCCTTATTCCAAGCATCTGAAAAAACGGGTTTGTCGTCAAAAACTATACTACAATATCTTTCTCTCAGTTCCAAAGGTACTCCAAAATCTCTTCCCATCCTTACTAAAAGTTAGCTTATGGTTTTGAAGTTCTGTTTTGTGCTGAATTGTTCATTCTTTTCTGTTAATTTATATGTAGCAGCCTTAAGGTAAACATAGGCAATATTCTGCCATAATTATTAATGTTCGTCATCTTGTGCTGACTCGATCACACTGGCCAACATACATTTTGATGCCTCAAATGTTAGGCCTATTTCTGGGCATATTTGACCTGCTGATTCCAAAAATGGCCCCAAATTTCCCCTATGAGCTCTAGTTTTGAGATACAGAAATTATTGATCATGACTCTAAGCAAGGAGTCAGTTGTTTTCCGTTTCCAGCATTCAGCCCAAGTTCCTGCAACAAAACCGGTGCAGTTTTTGTGCGATTAATCATGGAACACTATATAAGAGCCTATAGTATGCATATAAAATAATCAAAAATACTATCACTGCTTTTCTTAATCAGAAAGAGTTTGAAAAAACGAAGAGTCAAAGAGAAATGGAAGAGAAATACATTGTCAGTGCCTGGTACAATATGGTAAGTAATCTAGTGGTATCATACCATTTTTATATACTTATGGTGACAACAATTTGATTCTTTTCTGGAAAAGAACTGGCATTGATCCATGGGATCACCACGTGGGTAGCACTGATCTGCTCAAGCCTCCCATTCCATTATCACTTTATCCTTTCTTTGCATTTATTAAACGGCCTTGGGCAAGCCGGCGTATCTTGCCTTCATCCTCTTCATTGGTAATAGGTGGGTATTGTGTTGCTAGACTACAGGTTACACTATTCTTCATCATTGTCCTTTCTGGCTGGGGCTGATGGGAGCTGGAGTCCAACATCCTCTGGAGCACTGCTTCTTAAACTGGGGGTCCCGATCCCAAATGGGGTTCCCTTAGTTCAGTGTTGGGATCCTGAAAAATTTGGCAATAGTAAAAGGTTTCTGAACTTTATGTAATTACTGTTTTACACAAATCTGTTGTGCAGAGCTTACAGTGGACTCTGCAAAAAATGTTTCAGCTGTACTTCATAAAAAGGAAAATCAGTCTATTCAGCAAGTCTTGCAAATGCTGAATTATTTTTAAATAAATAAATAAATGGTTTGTTATCCGTAAAAGTTTGATTTTTATACCTATTTTATCTATCTATATCCCATGAAAAGTTCTTGAGTGGAAAGGATTGTAAGTGGAAAAGTTTAAGAAGCTGTGCTCTGGAGGACGGCAACTTCCCTACCCATAATTCAGCTGGTCTGGCTAACCACATTTGTGGGATGGTCTTAGCAATCGCCAAGGATAATACAAATGATGGGCTATGGATTCTTGGCATGTTCTACATGTCTAAGTAAATGATGATATACAATTTGTGAGTTTTGCGTTTGCCCTTAGCACTGTATGCCCATCTTTATGTATGTATGTATTTATTTAAGTTATACCCCATCTTTCTCTCCATAGAGACTCAAGACAGCTAACAACCACACAATTTGGTTGCAGTTTAAAACAAAGACAATTAAAAAAAACAGTTAAATAGCAATGTGTGGATTTTGGTTAAAATACAGTTAAAATATAATAAATACAATTAAAGTTACATTTAAAACCCACAGTCTCCCCAGAATCCCACCCACACTTCCCCAGCAGCATGGCCCTTATCCTCCCCCAAATGCCTGATGACACAGCAATGTCTTACTTATTATTTATTTACCACATTTATATCCTGCCCTTCTCAACCCCGAAGGGGACTCAGGATGGCCTTACAAAGGCAACAGTTCAATTCCATATATTGATACAATGGTAAATAAACAAAAACATTAAAACCAAACCCATTAAAAACATAGCATTAAAACATCAGTTAAAATCACATGATCCAAATCGTATTCCAGGGCCAGTCTGAGTTGTTACTATATTAATTTGTAGTTTCATATTTAACTACTCCCGTTACTGGCTGAAAGCCTTATCCCAGAGCCATATTTTCAGATTTTTTTCCCCTGAAGGTCAGGAGGGATGGGCAGATCTAATTTCGCTGTGGAGGGAGTTCCGTAGGCAGAGGGCCACCACTGAGAAGGCCATGTCTCTCGTCCCCACCAGTTGCAAGGGAGGTGGGACTGAGAGCAGGGCCTCCCTATCTATCTTAACCTCCGAGGTGGGTCATGGAGGGACATACATTCGGATAGGTGAGCTGTCTAGACCTGCTTGAAGAAGGAAAAGCATGATGGGGCCATCCTGATCTCTCTTGGGAGGGAGTTCAAAGTCTGGGAGCTTCCATCAAAAAGGCACTTTGCTTTGTTCCTGTGTTTGAGCGGGTGGTGGGACAGAAAGAAGGCCCTTTGTTTGGAATAGGGAAATGGCACATCTCATTTTAAAAACAGCAACAGCAAACCTAATATGTTTCCCACCCCCACCCCTCTTCTCCACAGGGAATGACTCTCCATAAAAAAGCAGCAGAGGACAGACTTGCTAGTACAGGTTCAGGACAGTCCTTCCTAGCCAGACAGAGGCAAGCCACCAGCACAAGAAGAGCATATCCTGGCCATGTTCAGCCCGCGACAGCGAGGTAGAGGCCGACCTTGCCTTGCCTTTTGAAAGGAAGCCATCCTGGGATCAACACCGACTTCTGTTACAAGTTACAGCATTTCAGGAGACTTAGCCAGCATCCTTTCTGTCTCTTACAGTTAACTTCTCATATCAGGAAGGGTTTTTTTAAAAAAAGAAAAGTTTTTCTATATTTTAAATTCCCTTCGCTTTCTCTCTCTCTCTTTTTTGGAGTCTTTCTTTTTGCCTTTTATTGTGCCAAAATGTTGGGAAACACCTAGTGAGGTGCAGAAATGTAAATCCTCCCTTCCCTTGCTATGCTTGTATGAATTATCAATCTCTCATCTGAAATCTGAGGATGGCTAGATATCAGACTTAGAGGTCCTGTCGATGAATGAGATTGCCATCCTTTCAAAGGCTGCCATTGTATAAAGGGAATTATTCGCCTTCTCTTTCTCACTCTTCTCTTGAACTGTTTAAATTATGTAATGCGATTTGCAACAGTGATGATTGTGAAATGTATTCATTGCAAAGGTCTGGATGCTGGCCGAGGTTGCACCTATCTGATTTAGCGTGTGATCACAAATTTGCCTTAGATTGTGGTTACTCTTTGTTTTAGCTTTAATTTAGAGAGGCAGGCTATTTTTTTGTGTCCTTGTTTGCCCATCTCTTATCTTTTTGCTGCTGCAGGTTTAAACTGTTGGAAGCACTGATTCCATTCTCGGTTGGTATGGACTTAAGATGGAAAGTAGCAACCTTTTTCCCCATTTGTTTGCATGGCTAGTACTTCTCTTCTTTTTTCCATTGGAATCTAACCAAGTAAGGATCTGGCAAGCCAACCTTTTCCATGCTCCATAATCCTAACCCACTCCTGCTTGGAAATTTTAGGAAATGTGGGCACAGGTAATACGCCTTGTAATGTGTAGCCAATCCTACAAATGGGGAAAAGTAAACATGATTAACCATGTAGAATTTATTTTGTTTTGTTTTTTTTTTTTGGTTTCCCATCCCCGAGATAGCACGTTGGTTTTGGTAAAACATTGTTGATGGGTGCTGCTTATAAGTTGTTTTTCACCACCGAAGACTGTGTTTTGATAGGTCAGTAAGGAGGACTCTTATCAATTGCCTTTTAAATGGTAACCAGTGCCTCCAGACAAGCTGAACTTGACATGAGAATCTGATGTCCTTTTGTGCCAAATTGCAATCTGTGCAATTACAGATCTTTCTCACGAAGCAAAGTTAGCCTTTCAAGTTCTGATCTTGCCAAGTACTGAGCTCTAGAGAGAAAACCATTTATGGTTGAGAAGTGTGGGATTATTCGAGCTATTTCCATACGAATTCACTGTTAACAGTAACTGGGGGGTTTTGTTGAAAAGTGTTGTATGTAGAAATATTTTATTATGTCTAACTTTCCAGAAAAACAAATTGTATATCCTTCCAAATGTCGATCATGTTGACTTTTAGAAAGTATTCTTAAGAGCCTTTTAAGGGGGAAAGGATAGCAGTGATGCCTTCCACCTGGAAGTACATCTGGAATATGTTATATTTAGATATAAAATGTTTAACATACCACTTTTTTTTGCAAACCAACACATTACATCCTATTAATTAAAGAAATCGTAACCTTGTCCTTTTTCGCCGCCACCCTTTTGATTAAAGTTATTTGGAAAGTAATGATTAAAGAAAATGCATTAACTTTGGGCCCTCTGTAAGTGTGGTTTCAGTGTTTAGTGAAGTAGGCCAGATTTCTCCCTAGTATGCAGATAAATGTTTACTTTCTGTTTCCCCCATGAAGTAGCAAATTAGGAGCAGGAGAAAGAAGACTTGAAAGTGAAGTTTTGTGTGTGTATATATATATATATATATATATACACACACACACACATTAGACTTGGACCCAAATCACTATTAACGAAAAGATTTGTAGTTTTTGGGGAGCTGTTTTAGTCTAAATTCCAAAAACAGAGGAAGAGAGACACGAAAAGACCAGTTAAACAGATTCAGAGAAACGATATTTTCGGAAAGAGTTAAGTCCACAAAATACCTGAGGCAGGGGAATCTGTGGCATCTTTTTCTCTCCCTGGTAGGAGAAACTTCCTCTGTTTTTTTCTTGGAAAGTTACCTCCTCCAGAGAGGGCCCTGGGAACTCACTTTCCCAATGGCAGTATCATAGGCTGTTGTAAGTTCTTCTTGGAGCATGTGTCTCCCAGCCAATAAAAAGCCTGGTGGTGTCTGTGCTCTGATTGGCTGAGAATGGACAGAACCAGCAACTACAACTCTCAAATGTTATGGTCAAAACTTAAAATAATTATTTTTTAAAAAATCAGTAGGTTGATGAATTGTTTTGAAACTTGGCAGGCCCGCAGTCGTAAATGGGGTCTACAACTGAGGTAGGTTTCATGCAGATAGGCCTTAAATGGCTGAGAATTGAGTTTTTAAAGTTCCCCATTGTAGCCAATGGGTTGAATTTCTGCCAAATGAAACAGAAAACACCTCCCTTTCAGGTAATTTTCTGGTAAATGAAATGAGGGGTCAGACAAAAATAGACTGGAAAACGGCATCCCTTTTGGCCTGAATACACATGCCTAATATATATACAATTCCAGAACTTATTGTGGAAACAGGAAACAATAACGGCAAACTCTGTTGAAATTAATCACTTCCACTGGAAGTTGCCATAGAGTTGCCCTAGAGGACAAAGAAATTTTCTGGAGAAGTACCTGGACCTACATTGCAAGTTTATGGTGACTTCTGGAGAAAGCATACCATAGAATCACCTGAAAGATGTAGGAAATTCCTAGAAATGACAGATTTTGCCAGGTATGGGGGTTGAGGGGTTGTACTGTATTAGCAATATTACTCGATGGGGCATCATGTCCTTATATGCAAATCAATTCCATCAAAGAATTCGCAGCTTGAGAAGGAATAGCTGCCAATCTTAAGCCTCATCTCCAAGGGTCTCCTTTACATATTTGATCTTAGCCAAAAGTCCTCCTCCACCTTAAAAGCAAGTCTTCTTTCTATAAAATTGCTTTGAAGGCATTGTAAACATTTTCTGACCCCAACACAATTTCAAGTGATCAATTGGAAGAAAGTTTGATTCCTCCCAAATGGGGCCAGCCTACTGATATTGGGAGGATTTCACTTTTACTTGGCTCAAACAAACAACCAAGTAGTAAAAATCAGTAGATTTGTTATGACATTTTTTGGTCCCAGCCATTTTTTTAAGCTGAGAAAAACCTGTGCATAAGGAATGGGTGAAATTTGGGGAAATTGCTTACAGCTGATTGGGTTCAAAGTTGCAGAAATGCCTGCCTTGTAGGCTAGTTTTGTGTAGATAAGCAACTAAATGTGACATGAAAGTACATAAAGATTATATTTGTTTAGGGCAATACATACGGCACCCACTATTCCAAGAACTGACTGATGTAGTTGTAGAGAAAGTGTAACATTCTTAGTTTTTTCCAGTTGCATGCATTTATATGCAAATATATAAAAATATAGATGATTGCCCAGAGAAAAAATGAATATTTTTTTGTCCTCCAGACCATTCTGCTGTTCTGACAAAACAATTTTTCACTGTTTTTGTTCTTTGCCTAAAAGAGAATTGAGAAACAACTTCGGTGTTCTGTTTTTTTTCCTGATGCCTTCTTTTTTGTTCCTTTATTGGCTGTCTTTTCAGTGTGAAGACTTTGTCTGCTTTCCACGGCTTATTTCTGTTTATCATTATTTTGTGTTTTTCACTGAGTATGTCAGCAGATAGTTTTTTGACTTTGGTTTCTTACTTTCTTGTACCGGAAATGGCAGGGCCATCTTATTACAACATCCAGCATTGCAGGATGTCATGGTCTCGCCACATCAATGTGCCATTTGTTTTTTACTTTGATGGCTTGAGAAATGAACTGTGGTTTTAAAGATCATACAAAAGCATGAACATTAATCATCAGGAAGAAATCCAGAAAAAGTTAGCAGCTCTTTAAGGACGTATTGAAATTAATAGATTAATTCTTACTAAATTAAGTGCTATTAATTTCCAAAGGGTTGAAATGAGACAGATTTTATCTGGCTTGTGGGCTAATTTTGTGGCAAAAAGAAAAAACTTTTGAGTGGAACCGGTTCATAAACACTTTATAAGGAATTTCACAACTTTTTCTTCTGATAACACCATGGCTAGTAGTTTGTTCTTTTTGTCAAAAGTGTATTTTGACTAGGGATGGACAGATGAACTTTTCCACATTAAAATTCATTCTGTCTTCATGCAAAGTTTGATTTTTTTTTCAAAATCTGCACAGATTTTGGTATGCATTTTGAAGACAATGTGTTTTTCCAGAAAACATGCTGTGTGCACATTTACAAATGTATACATTTGAAGCAATTCTTAATGGAATAAAACATTTGTGGTTTTGTTCCTTCAACTATATGCATCCTAAGCTGGAAATCTGTGGATTTCAGTGTCAAGCTGGATTCTGATCTCTCTTTAGGCCTGATATATTTAGATTTGTTAAATTCATTTGGAAATGCAAACTCAACAATTTTTGGTTATAGGTTAAAATAGGCCAGGCAAGTGCAATGGCTACTGTTGTAAAAATAGAGAATTTCTTATTTTTGTCCCTTGCATATTGAGGAGCATATTCTCTCAGCAATACTAGATGTGTTCAATGTATCTCTTAAGTTGGATAGACTTGTCGTTTGAACAATTGTTGATTACCTGTCTTCTAATAGTTCTGTTGCAGTTTGGGCTTGGGTTTGCTGTATGGTAAACTGTTGAATAATCTTGTACTTATGCAAAGTACATTTACTTGGTGTATGTTAGGTTTTGAAGAACTATATTTCCGGAAATTTTAGTATGTGATAACTTTAAAATTCAGTAAATATTCCAGAATATTTCTTTCCTACTTATGTTTGCCTCCCAGATGTTCTCATTTTGTTCCACTGAATAATATACTTGAAGAGGTAAATATAATTAATACACACAGTGCACAGGCTAGGATCCAGCTATGTACTTCTGCTAGGTCCCTCTGTTTCCACCAGAATTGGCAACCCCATCTTGACCAGCCTCTTCTCAACCCTCACAATTTGCTCTGAGGGCCCTTCCATACAGGCTCTATATCCCAGGATCTGATCCCAAGGTTTCTGCTTTAAACTAGATTATATGAGTCCCCACTGCCAGATACCTTGAGATAAACAGAAAATCTGGGATGAGATCCTAGGATATAGGGCCT